ACTCGTCCTTGGAAATATGTTCAGCAAAGATTAGTTTTGGTTAGATGCATTTTAAAATTGAAATTTAAAAGGGTGATTGCTCAGAAATGAACATGTAATTTATACACACAAAAGTACCATTGTGCATGTTCTCTTCCACGTAACGTGGTTTTAAAGATACTGGGCATCCTGCTTGCCACACATGGAGTAGTGGCGACCCTGGCTGTATCTGAGTCCCACAGACGGTCCTGGCTGCCCATGGAGGGCTCAGGAAGGTCCGTGCGGGCCACAGCCATCTCTTCTCCCTTGATTTTCCTGGTCGCAGACTCCGTCGGGGATGCTGTGACCCACTGGGCCAAACCACGAGTTAAAGGAAACAAAACCTTCCTGACCAAATTCCTCTTCAGTTTTTGACTTATATCTGACAGCAGACTGTAAATACCCCTTCAGCAACCTGCATTCATGCTCCAGCGTTCTGAGGCCCTGTACCAAGCTAAACAATGAAGAGAGGTGTTTCCCAATGACAGAAATAGTGAAAGCAATGTCTGTCATATGCTGAACATTCTGTATTCCAGTTTCTGTAGTTTATAGTGGAGAAGATACAACATGTTAAGAAAATGGTAACATTTAAACCTGATTTTCTCCTCCTTTCATTCTGTTTTTAAACAGTATTTCCTCTGCCTGACAGAAAGCTCTTCCCTAGGACCTGAGGTTTCCTGTTCTGACCCAGGCCCCCTCCTCTTCCTGAAGCCACCCTTTGGGTCAGTAGCCGCCCCAAGCAGATAATGGTTTAACACTACCCCTCCATGTGACAAAATCACTTTCAGTACTTACTTAACAAAACACACATAATAATGTCAGGAAAGAAACAGTGAAGATTTCCTCTTATTGAACTTCACCTATGGATATATAATCATGCCAGTTAAAAATAAAATAAATATCAGAGCAAAAAAGATAAATACTGCACTTCAACAAGAGATTAAAAATGTAAAAGAATAATAGCATAAAGATGGTAAGCACAAAGAAATAAACTCGAGTTACTTCAGTTCTCTTATTCTGAAGTGTTTGTTCCTGCTGACTTATTTAACATTTGGAAAACAAGCGTTGTTTACTTTCGGTCTGCCTTTGTACGTGAACTCTGCTTTAGAACACAGGTGTCACGAGGAAAGGCTCCCTGAAGATAGGACAGGCTCCCGATGGAGGGCTTGGTGCACCAGTGATACAACCTCAACCCTTCATGTGTCGCAGTCACTACAATCTGAAAATTTTGTACTCAGCTGTATGTGATTTTTTTTTAATGAACCATCTTTTTTTTTTTTTTCTGGTGTGAAATTAAGCAAATCAGGTATTAAAATATCTACAAAGAGCCAGAATCAACCCTAAAAAATGATATAGTAAAATTTAAACTCTAAAATTATTCCTTGAAGATCAGAGGGAGACACTTTGGAAGACAGTTTGGCAGCTTCTTAGAAAAAAATATTTTTAAATAAAAGAAAAGGACAATCTTTCCATTTGACCCAGAAATCCTACCCCTGGGTATTTACTTATTCAAGTGAATTGAAAATGTATGTTCAGGAAGTCATCTATACACAAATGTTTACAGCAGCTTAATTGTAATTGCCCCAAACTGGAAGACACCAAGATTACCTTCAAAAGGGGAATGAGCCCTGGCAGTTTTGCTCAGCGATAAGAGCCTTTGCCTGCGGACCAGAGAAATCCGGGTCTGGTCCCCTCTAAGGGCACGTACCTCGGTTACAGTGTGTCCCCCGCCCTGGTTGGGTCGTGCAGGTGGCAGCCACTCAATGTGTCCCTTTCATGTCAATTTTTTTTTTTTCTCTCTCTCTCCTTCCCACTCTATCTGAATAAAAATGGGAAAATGTCCTCGGGAGAGGATAAAAAAAAAGGGGGGAATGAGTAAGGTCATTACATCCATATGACAGAATATCACTTAGCAATAGAATGGAGCCAGCTAACAATTCACACAACCACATGGATGGATCTTAAACACATTTTGCTAAATGAGAGAATACCCGCCCCAAAAGCTACCTCCTGTTGTATCATTCTGGTCATATCCAGGTCCAGAAGAGGCAAAATCACAAGTTTCAAAAAGAGGTGAGTGCTGGTCTGGGGTTCTCAGATAAAAGGAGCCAGGGCTTGTTGGAGACATGGTTGATCATAATATAGGGGCAGGGAAAATTTAAAATATTGGAGCAACTTTTATATTACACTTTTGTATTGTAACCCAAAGTATTAAATAAATACCCATGAGTTCACATTGATAAAAAAGCATACGTTGGGAGAAGGAATACATTGTTCTTACAAAATACAGATGGTATCTATAGATACTCCTCCAGGTCTCAACTACAACAGCCAGAGTAAAGCCCTTGAGGACGCAATCTAGTCATAATACTCCTCTGATCAAACAGCTTTTGAGTCACTCAGAGTAAAATCAGAATGTACATGGCCTCAAGGCCATGCATCTTCAAACTCTCTATTTTTCTGTTTCCTCAAACTTACCAGACATTGCCCTACCCCAGGGCCTTTGTACTGACTGTCCCTCCTGCCTGAAGATACACAGTGGCCAGCTCCTCCATCCCTTTCAAGTCTTTCCCTTCTCAGGGAGATGCTCCTGACTATCTGAAGTTACCTAGCCCCAATACTGCACACCAAATCCCTTTACCTTTCTCCTTGGCCATCATCACCTTCTCAGGCATCATATTGAATTTATGTACTCATTGTCTCCCCTCAACATAATGGAAACTTCCCAAGACAAGGTGTTTTCTTTTATTCACTGCTGTATCCACAGCACTGTGAGCAGTACCTGGCACACAAAATTCTATGAAATAAGTATTTCCCTCTGGGTCTTGGGTTGGCTGCACCCCATGTGTACATTTAGTACTTTAAACCAGTCCTAAATATTCTGTAATCCATTTTTCCTTTTTTATGCTATAAATCATTTGCATGTAAAATTCTTTGTGGGTTGCTTTTTTAGACTTCAGAGAGAGAGGGGAGACAGAAACATGGATGAGAAGTAGATGTCAGGTTTACTACACCCAACATGTCATCCAGTTTGCTAACTGTGTGAAGTTCAAATTATCCTATTTTTTAATCTGACAGTTTATGGCTAAGTAGGTTAGTATCCCAGTATCGTGGGGGTGTAATCCAGGTTAAAACTTCAGCATAGATATGTAGTGTGGCCCAGTGAGCCCTCTGGGCGGGGAAATCCTGATGAGGAAAGCCATGTTGTGATGATCGCGGCGCGCCTTGAGTTTTCTCGGTTCACTGCCACCCACCAGCATGTTACTGCAAATAATGGGTCCAACGTTGAGAGTAACTGAGGTTAGAAAAGGTCCCTTACTGGTTTGGTGATATTCCAGATAAGATGGAGTTTGAACAGACTAATTCAGAGGTTCTCCCCACCCCTACACAAGCAAGGTCAGGCTATCTAGTAAGGCCCCAAGGTGGTGCCTGAGGCTTAACCCTACAGAGAGCACCGAGTCCACCACTGGGTTGGAGGGCAGCTTACAGCGATAAACAAAATTCTGTCCCTGAAACACTCACAAACATTATGAATGTGAAACTTCTCGTGCCCGAGGTAGCTGGACTACCTAGAGACAGCTGATTTCCTTCAATGTGCAGAAAAGGCTGCAGGAACTGTTCCTGCCCAACTGCTCATTTTTAATAAATACATTATAGAATCTGGACTGAGATCTATCTCTGCTCTATTCCCTGCCGATCAGTCCTCACCTGGAACCTGAGAACTAGTGAATCCAACAGAAATAACCTAATGTTGTGTATAAATGAGACAAGGCAGCTCAGGTCAGGTCCAGAGCTCACCATCACTATTTGTTAGTTTCTCTTTGCCAATCAATCAATTTTCAGGTCACATATTTACAGACAGTTGGTAAATGGGCACAAGGTCCTGATTGTTACATCTTCTTGCTATAGTTATCAATAAAAAATATTGCTTTTTGTTCCTTTTAATGTTTTCACCTAAGGTGTATTTTGGCTAATATATACAACATATGCATTTCATTATGTAACAGTATTTGCTTGATGTTATGCTTTTCAGATTTATTTGTTGTAAAAACATACAAATATGACATTAGAGAATCAAGTCTTATCAAACCTTAAGATTATATTTCCTTTAGATCTTTATTTTTCAAAAGACTAGGAGCCTTTCACACATAGAGATTTTTTTAATGCCAATCTCAAATAAAAACATAATATATACGAGCCTAAGGAGAAAATGTATCAAACCCTTAACATTTTGTATTGACAAATTTTTAGAGAATTAGCAGTGGTAACTGTCTTAGTTCCTCTGGGCTGTTGTAACACAATACCAGACACTGGGTGGCTTATAAACAACAGACATTTGTTTTGCCCAGTTCTGGAGGCTGGAAATCCAAGACCAGCAAGCCCGCATGGTCGGGCTTCTTCCAGACTGCAGCCTGTTGACTCTTGTGTCCTCACAGTGTAGGAGCTAGGAGCCCTGTGGGGTTTCCTTCCTAAGGGCACTGGTCCATTCAGGAGGGCTCTGCCCTCATGACCCAAGCACCTCCTACAGGCCCCATCTCCTAATGCATTCTATTGGAAGTTAGGATTTGAATATATTTTGGGGAACATAAATATTCAGACTGTAGAAGAAATTTAAAAATAACAAGGATTTTAATTTAAGTAGACATTTTAGCCTAGGATACAGTTTGAGTGGTACCATGGGGGCAAGTTAAATTATGTGGAAAAACTAAAAAATATACCCAAAGGAACAGAAATGAATATAGTTGGGGGTGGGGGACAAAGGGAGAAAAAAGGTTGTAGCTTACTAAAATATGTATTTGTTCACATCTATAAACTGAATGTAAATTTCTCTGAATACTGCTATTGTGAAATTAAAAAGTAATTATGATAAATAAAACATAGGCCAGAGTAGAATTTCAAAATACATTTCATGTTTCTATAAGCTTTACCTTAAAATATTTTTATCTGAAATATAGTTTTGGTATTTAAAATAAACATTTGACTGAGTGATATAAACATGTAATACATGTGTAACTTTAACTTATATCCTTTACAGGATATTTCTGTGTAAGGATAAATTATTTTTACATTATTTAAAAAAAATGGCAACATGAGCTCCCAGATTTAACTATCTGCCTGGGGCACGCTAGTGCCCACATCCTATATTGGGAGCCCCGGCACGCGTTCTGGTCAAGCTCTCTGTGAAGTTCCCCACAATACAGAAGTGACCCCGGAGGAGCTGGAGGAGGGAGGGCTGCCAATCAGCTCAGGCGGCCCAGCAGCTGAGCCACAGGCTGGTTTGGGGAGGGGCCGGGGGGATACAGAAAACCAAACCTGAGTTAGCTATAAGTAAGTGATCCACTCTCAACCTACCTCCTCTAAAAAAAGTTTAAAATTTTTTAAAATTTTAAAATGGAAAGTTTCGCTTCAATGAAGTTGTCTGTTAGTACTTTAAGCCCAAAAAACCCTTAATTCTCATTTTCTGATTTTATGACCAAATATCCTGAAGATAGCGTTTTTCTTCTTTTAAAGTAGCCAAAGTTTTCATTGCTTCCAGCTTATCAACTCCAACCTCTCTGCTGATTATTTCCACAAGGGTATCATTTACTTCCCTGGCCATATTCTTGGCGTCTCTAGAAAAAAGAAGTAATGGTATCAATGTTTAAGAAACAGACATTTTTACTAAATCTTCCTTAATTCACGAATCTAATTCCCACTGGCACCCCTATCACTACACTTTAGTCCTCCTTCCATTTCTCTGGGAAGTGTCTCAAGAGGTCTCCCAGACCCGGTCACCTATAACTCACCCGACTGACACCCAGGCCTTCACACAGTGATCATTCCAACACGTACAGCCGACCACACTGGTCAATGTCCACCTCCCAGGAGCAGCCCAAACCTTGAGTGTCTAAGGACTTACCCATCTGGCTGCTGCTCACCTCTCATTCCCTCCCCCACTCTCAAGGCACACATGGGACTTGCATTCTGAGGGCACCCAGCTCTCTTAAAAGTCTAAGGCTTTACATGTGCACACACACATACACGCACATGTTAACAGATCCACTTACTGAGAATTTACATGTGCTTGGCCCTTCTCTAAGTGCTCTGAGGTGTCTCCACTCTGTTCAATTCCTGAAGGGGGAAGTGCCCTGGAGTCTCCTGCACAGCACTCGCTCCCACCCAGGTTCCGTGCTCCCACCCAGGAAGTGCACCCTCTGGGGAAGGGAGCATATCTCATTTATCTTCATCCCTCTCAACATGTGAACAGGGCCAAAGCACTCACTAGACATGCCAGTGTTTGCTAAATGAAAGAACTGTACAGGACTCTAGCATATCAGAAACTGAACCTGACCTACCCCTACACAGGGAAATGTATGTTAAAGTCACTTCAGAACTTATATTTCTCTTCCTGTACTTAAGAATCAAATCTCTCCTCCCTCCATGTCTGGATTATTATTACCAGACTGGTCCCTTGATCTTTAATAACTATCACTGCCTGCCTCCCACCCTATACCTGGCACCTGAGCACGAGGGCTACTTACCCACACACATAAATGTAACCGTTCTCATAAAGAAGGAGCCTGGCCACCTGCTTGCTGTGAAGCCGGATGCTGTCTTGAACATACTTCACTGGGGCTTCCTCCTCCCCGACAGGAGCATCTCTTGAGAAGGAAACCTTCAGGTGAGTCAGGATTCTATGCTTATGGAAATGTCTGAGCTCTTCTCTGAAATACAATATGTAAAAGGTCACCGAAAGGTTTGTATAATTTAAAGTTGAAAAAGTCTGCAATGAGAACTGCCCCCCATGGCTGAGTCTGGCAACACTAGAACTGTAGAGTACCTGAATAAATAATCCCTATCCTGATGTCGACAGCCAAAAAACAACCACATCACCCCAAAGTGTCCATCTGGATGTTGTTCTTGGAGCTTCTCTCTAAGTGAAAAAGAAAATTGAGATGTTTAACATAAGGAATATGTACAACCAATGTCTCCCTTTGGCCAGGAAATACCACCAACCAACCCAGAAAGGTCTGTAAAATCTATCTTTGGAGTCCCTGAAAGTTCATTCATTGAATTAACATCCTGCTCTCTTCAGGGTTCCTCAGCCCCTCCAGCAGACATTCCAATAAGGAAACGTCTCCATGAGCTGCAGACATCAATGAGCTCTATATGACATCTCTGTAACAGCAAAAAAAAAAAAAAAACCACATTGTGAAGCCTAGACTGATTTCTACATTCAATATTAATAGCAACCTTATGAATAAATTAACTCTCAATTAAGACACTGGAAAAGTGACACAGGGCTTTGAAAGGTAGAAGGACCTATTGTGGAGTGTCAGAAATAAAGGCACACCAATGAGACACCCTGAGTGTGCCTGCCATTTTCTCTGCTTTCTTAAGGAAGAAAACTAAAAATAAAACAACAAAAAGATTATGTCCAAAGGACATTACTCCACTATCTGGGGAACAGGACATAAGAACTGTTCATTATTTCACAAATGAGGAGAGAAGCACAATTTGATTTTTTATATCAAATAGTTCTGTTCTCATCCAAAGTTACATCTATCAGTATCATTCCATTGAAAATTACTAATGTTTGGAGATTAACTTTGAGACTTTTGGTATCATTGGAGCTATTACAGCAATTTTATCTACTTAAGGAACAAGTGGAACAGCCTCCACATCATCCCAGCACAGAGCTCTCCTGGAAATATGTCCCCAGCTACGTGTGCTCCAAACCACGGTGCAGCCAGGGAGAAAAGGGAAGTGAAAAGGGAAGTAAAAAGGAAGTTCCAGCACAAAACACATCAGTATAAGACAGCATATTTATGCCCGACTAGTGTGGCTCACTGGTTGAGTGTTGACCCATGCACCAAGAGGTCACCTGTTCGATTCCTGATTAGGGCACATGACCAAGTTGTGGGCCAAATCCCCAGTAGGGGGCGTGCAGGAGGCAGCCGATTGATGTTTGCTGTCATCAATGTTTCTAGCTCTCTCCCCCTCTCCCTTCCTCTCTCTCTAAAATCAATAAATACATTTTAAAAAAAGACAGCATATTTACTTTCCTCATGGTGACAAATTATGTTATGCTATCACACATTTGATACTAATTTTTTAAAATAAAAATTTTACAAGCAAACTCCAATGTCCTCAAAACCACTGAACAAAAAAGCTGTCTGTTCTGTTCTCACCCAGGATCACAAGGGATACATGTGCTCACCAGCCAGAAAGGACACACCTGTGCTGCAGGAAACCAATGAAGGGCGCTATGCCAGTTCCTGGACCCACCATGATGACAGGGGCTGAGGGGTCATCTGGTAAGTGGAAAGAGTTTGTTATCCGAGGAGAGATGGGTATCTGGAATATTAAAACAATGGTCAGAAGTATGAAAGAAGATTTAGATAAAAGCTTATAACCAAGATGACCTTTGCTAATGAAGTCAGAAAGTGCAAATTCCCCTAAAATATCATCGTAAAATTACATAGCAGCATTACATCTTACTGAAACCATGAACACATGTCACTACAAAGAAATGAGTCTATTTTACAAATGTTTATTTTCTATTCGAATCAATGGACTTTAAAAAATGACAGGCGTGATATTTCTGAGGTAGAACATTAACTAGATGTAATTACTCTTTTTCTAGTTCCATGAATGAGATCTGCTTCCCAGCCTGCAACCCATTACATTTACTTTGAAAAAAAATGCAGGAAAAAATAAAGACATGACTCTCAGTTTGTGCATATAGGGGCAATGAAGATTAACATCAAGATGGGGTAAAATGTTTTAAGTGAAAATTAGGCAACCAAATGGGAAATTAAGGGCTTGCTCTGAAGATGTTAGAGAATTGTGTGGTATTCTGGGTCCAAGGTTATTTGTGCTTGTGCAAAACTAAGAGTAAGTGATAGAGACAGATAAAATCTTTTCATTAAAATGTCAAGATTTTTCTTCTGAATCATGTGCCAAGGGCACATACAAGGAATCAATTTGTAAATGTGCTTCTTTCCAGCTTCACTTTGCCACATGTGTAAGCTATACTGGGTGATGCTAAGAGTTAAGAATGATAGGAGTCCACTCTGTAGCCCATGCCGGTAACTGTATACATTTCAACCTTTAATTCAAGAAAAATCATATGAAAGTCACTGACAGGACTTACTTTGTAAGTGAAGAATTGGCAAACCTGTATCAAATCATTGTTCTCAGTATTGAATGAGACTATAATTAATGTCACATTAGCCTATTCACTCGACTCATTCATTTAACAATTGTATTAATAATCATATGATAAGCAGTAGGAATAGAGAAAGGAGCAAAACCAAATCCATGTTCGTGGGACTTACATTCTAGTGGGTGACAATCAACACACACATATCCCTAGAATGATGCATGATTAAGTCTCACAAAGCAAAATAAGACAGGACACAGTGGGCAAGGCAGGGAACTGCTAACGAGAGCCTCTAGCTTCTGGGTACTGCAGAGGTCAGAACAGCAGCTGGCTCTTGCTGCATAAATCTCAGATGGCCTACAGCACCCTGCACTTACTTCTGGCTCTCCTTAAAGGCTGAAGGCAGGCTCTGCTCCCTGGATCTCCTTCACTTGGGATCCAAGCCCAAAGAGCAGGCCTGGCCTGGATAATCCTGTCCTCATGTCAGAGGGAAAGACTGAGGGAGGGAAGCCATAGCACACCATCAGGTCCAGGGCTCCCGCTCTGATGTGGCCTATACCCTCTCTGCTCAGGTTTCCCTGGCAGAGGCGACCCATCAATGGGAGGAAACACTCATTACACTGTGGGGTTGGAGTGGTGGTGGAAATATCTGTGAATAATTGTACTACCTACCAATGTGGAGGAGGGCCTGTGGTAGGTCATGCCCTCAACATTCTTTACACTTCCTAATAAAATATGATAAACTAGGAAGCACCCTGAAACTTAGTTTTAAATTGTATCCTTTCTATCTGCACCTCCAGCGTCTGCATATTGGGTAGTCAATAAAAATATGTTAAAGGAGTGAAAGGAAGAGGAAAAAAAGGGTAGGAGGAAAGAAAGAATATGGGAAAGGCTCCCTGCTTAGTGTTTGTGATACATTATGGATGTACTTTTATTTTAAATTTCTGGAGATCATCTGCTATTTTATATGATCATGAAGTACTTAAATATTACTTTTCAAAAAAGGAATATTCTCAGGTTCTCAATATTTTGTTGCAACACAATAAACCAAAGAGTATGGATGGGGGAGGAGAGAACAGATGGGGACAGACATGGACACACACACCTGTTCCAGGCAGCAGACGGGGAAAATGCCCGGTTAAAAGGCAGCTTCCAGCAGCAGTCTTCCTGTAAGCCCTCTCAAGTACAGAGCAGAGGCCTTACTTCCCTCTGTGGGCTCTGGCCTTTTCAACTCCAATAACTTACAGCAACCAAACCAGTCATAAGATAATGCTACAAATGACACATTCATTTCTTCAATACCATGGAGAAAGAAGATCTCACAATAAAACCTGCAGTTTTTTGTTTGCTTGTTTGTTTTCAAATTTCAGACATCCTTATGAGCAGGGACAACTTTAAATTGCTGCTTATGCATGTGGTCATGAACAAAATTTTGCTGAGTGCTGTATCAAAATATAAAAGATGTCACTGTGTCCAGAAACAAATGTGTCCAGTTTGTTTTAAAAAAATCAAATATTTTCCCTCTACGTGTTTTAAAAGTGATTCTCCCATGATGTCTTCTCACTAACAACATTAATTCAGAATCTACACACCATGGCTCTGACAAAAGGGAAGAGACAGGGCAAGTGAAAATCCACTACCCAAATTGAAGGACAAAAAAATCAGTCTCTGGTTGTCAACTGCCATTCAAAAAGGGCTTACTTAGGACATAGGATACAGCTTAAACATAAAATGAAGCTGTTTTCAATAGTTACTGGATTAGTCCTGTGCCAACCTACCAAGAATAGTCACAGAAAAAGTCTTAACGTTTATGAATATGACAAGCACAGAGAAAAGACTGTATGATATAAAATTCATGCTTCACACATTTACAAAATGCATGAACCACCTAACAGAGAATGAAAGTATGTTTTCCTGACTTTCCAACAGGTATTTGAAAATTAGAGTACGACGCACATTCTTTGTTTTTTCTAATCAGGCAAAGAACATAATTTCAATGATACCAGAACTGCACACCCCTAGTACCTCTGGAGCCAGGGCTTTCCCGCCATCCGCGTGGGATGCACGCATGTTCGGCTGAAGAATTGACTCAACCAACGTGGCCAGCCAGCCTGTGCACACGCCTCTCCGCAGAACCACTGATGTGTCACTGGACAGAAACTCCACGATGTTAAAAACAAAGTGGAGCTTCCCTGGGTGAGACAGACTTGAGCTGCAAAGATGCACATACATTTTAAAACTCTATTAGGACAAATACATTCAGGCCAAACTAAGCCTTTTTTATTGCAGTGAGAATACAGAGTGGAGCAAAAATAGATTCAATTGTGAGTACAAGAAAACACAGGGTTTATTCTCATATTATTATTAATTACTGTATTATTTTCCATATGAAAACTGTAAACCTACTTTTGCTCCACTATGTATGTCCTTATGGGATCTAAAGTACCTTCTAACTCCTCCTCACAGACAGGGGCTCTGTTGATACTTAAGAGCACCCCCCAACCCTCATTTTGTGATATCATTCAGGGAAGTTTCTAATGACCTGTTTGCCTTCAAGACTAAATACCATTTCCCCACTTTCCCTCTCTTCCCCATCCTCCTCCACTGCCCAATGAGGGCCGCTGGACAGCAGGAGGAGGACCTGGGGACTCAGTGCCCATAGTGGGAACACGGCTCTGGGGCATGGGAGGCACTGAAGGCCCCCACCCTAGCCCCTCCTGGAGGACAGGAGTTCTGACACTGGTTTGCTTCACTCTGCAGATGCCTGCTACTGTTCCCACAAGTCAGGTAAGTTTTCACTGAATGAATGTGTAGCTACTAAGGATTTGGAAGTTGGACTTTCATAACATTTTGAGAAGAAGATACTACATATAAACAAAATATCAGTACCTTGCACAAGAATATGGTCTGGGCTGGAGCTTAGGAAGATGTTCTAGAAAATAAATAAAAATCAGCAATTATTAATTCATGGCTACTGAAAATGACATATAAAAGGTAAAAAAAGTTCAAAGTCTCATTTGATTCTTATTTTATTTAGAATATTAAAACTAATTTATGTTTTAGTTTTAAATGCTATTTGTAAGCACATGTAAATTCACCATGTCTAAGTAAATAATACTGAATACCTTTTCCCAGCTGCTAACGTAAACCAGACGTACTGCATCTTCTTATTCTGAAATCAGGACGTCTACCTAAAGGCTGGTTTCTGAAATTAAAGGATGCTAAGGAATAGAGTTCACGACTGGGCTTCGGGGTCAAGGAACCCATTACATTCTCTGTGTTGTGTGTGCAGTCTTCTGGGGACAGTGTTCAGAGTTTTCAGATTTGAAATAGATCATGACCCCCAAAAGATTAAAGAACACTATTTTAAGAATTATGGCAACACTAAAGTTTGAAGTATTTTTTCCTTCTAATTTTCAATGTCATATTTGTAATAGTTATTTAGCAAAAATTTGGAGGAGCTTTCTAAAATAGTTTAGTTTTAATAAATATTTTAAAAAGGTTTCATACATGGCTCAACTTAATACTAAACATTAGATATACTAAGTTTTCTTAAAGAAACTAAAAAATGATTTAAATTTCTGTAAGTCTCAATGTCTTGATTAAATTTTTAATAAAACTATGTAATAAGTGATACATACATACAAGTTTTACATGGTAGTAAAAAATACATGGAAAGAAATACTCTCCTATGACTGAAGCTTCACAGGAGGCTTCACCCAGCTCCCTTGCATGTGTCCTGAATGTTGGCCTGCCCTCTATTCCCCTCAAAGACTCAAGTAAAAAGGGCAGGAGTGTCCGTGTGAATACAGGAAAGCGGGGAAGTGCACCTGGTAACGCTTTTGAGGAAGAGGAAAGAGAACAAAATACTAAGAAATAAAAATAAGAAAGCAGGACTGACTTGTAAGGAGAAGCCCTGACTGTAATGGCATCAAAAGGGACCCAGCTGGCCCAACAGTGGAATAATACATGCTTTCCTGTCCTAAAGACAAATGCAAATTTTAGGGATTTTACTACAGTCATCCCTCGCCACTTCGCGCTTCAACTTTCATGGCTTCACTCTATTGCAGTTTTTTCAAATATATTCATTAAAAAGTTGACTGAGACAGTGAAAATGATACAGCACGTGCTTGGTTGTCTGAGTCAATTATGCACCCTTGTATTACAATTAAAATTAAAATTACTGTACGTATGGACTGTAGGCCTATGTATTCGAGCACCCCACGAATCCTTCAATGCCAGGTGCAACCACTTGACCACTCCTTGTGTGTGGGCAATAACTTTTTCCCAAAAAATTGGGTGTGGTGAAACCAAACCAATCAGAGCCTGTTGTTCACTGATTGGCTCAGCCTCATGCAAGTTTGTTTCTCTCATACACGCTACACGTGGGAAGCATCTTTGCTCTTGTGTTTGCGATTTCTGAGAACTTTTATCTAAGCCCCACGATGGCTCCTAAACGTGCTGCTTCTTCTAAGCATTCTGACGATGAAACTAAGTGCTGGAGGAAGGTGCTTACCATCCAGGAGGTGAAACTCTTGGATGTGATCAAAGATGGCAAGAAAATCGTGGAGGCTGCCCGCCATTACGACTTGAATGAGTCTACCGTTTGCTCCATCCATAAAGATGAAAAGAACATCTGTGCAATGGCTACTGCCTCTTTCAACAAGGAAACAAAGCAAGTCATGACAAGTTGTAGTAAGTTCGTAGCGAAAACAGAGTCTGCTCTAGCTGTTTGGATCAGTGACAGCCGCAAGGAAAACATTCCGTTGGATATGCTGGTCATTGGGGAGAAGGCGAGGCAGCTCTATCAGCACTTTATGGTGGATGAACCTCAACCAGGTCCCTCTTCTGCAACATTCATGGATTTTACGGCGAGTAAGGGTTGGCTCGAGAAGTTCCAAAAAAGTTGTCATCTGAAGAGTCTTTCTCCACGGAGAAGCTGCCTCTGCTGACCAGCCTGCAGCAGAGGACTATGTGAACAACATGTTCCAGAAGATCCTTGAGGAGGGCGAGTATCATCCAGAACAGGTGTTCAATATGTATGAAACAGGACTGTTTTGGAAAAGAATGCCTTCCCAGACATTCATTTTCAAAGATGAGACCAAGGTCTGTGTGAGTGAGAAGGAGGAAGAGCAGCCAGAGGTTCCTGGGGGTCAGGAGGAGGAAGCTGGCCTTATACTTGAGTGTCTCTCGCAAGTCGTGAGAACTATTAAGGTAGTACAGGACATGATTGGTGAATGGGACCCACAAATGATGCATGCATGGCGGTTCCAGAATGCTCCTGATGGAGCAATAAAACCCTACAAAAGCTTCCTTACACATGAAAAGACAGCGCCAGCAACTGCCTATCACGATGTTCTTCAGCCACGCACCCAGACACTAACTGCCTACTCCTAGTGCTCCTTCAGTGGAAGATGACGACACACCTGCTGAAGATACTGCACTACCTGAAGACTCTCCCCTGAGGTCGTGCCTTCAGAGGAGCAGTAACCTTGCTCTTCTTTGCTGTGCAGAACATCTCTTCATCTTCATTGCTTCATCATCGAACAAGTTGCACTATTTTCATAGGTTAGTGGTTGTGTTTAAGAGCTGTGTGTGTGTGTAATTAAATGTACAATAATAATAATATTTATAACATCTAATCTGTCTTATTTTCTCTAATATATTGGGTAATACGAGTATAATGGTGACTAAAGGTTGTTATTTCCTATCTAGAGGGCTCTAAAAATGTTTAAAAATGTATTTAGAAGGTCATAAACAGGATTTCAATGCTCTGTGAAAATATTCGATTTATAAATAAAGAATCCTACTTTGCATGAATTCATTTATCGTGGCAGAGTCTGGAACTGATCAACCACGATAAACGAGGGTCAACTATACTTATTGCTACAGGTAAACAGAGAGGCGATGACAAGATTACAAATACAGGAAAGTAATAAAAGTTTAAAAATCATTAAAAGTCTTAGAGTCACTGAGATTCCACTGAAAGCTCCTCCCCTCCTCTGAACCAGTTCTTCAGGATCTTAAACCTCTTTTGTTGGAGTTTGAGAACCCCAAGAGACAGTATGAGCAAATAACAGTATCAACTTACATTTGAATACTTTGTGACAAGTCTCTCCAAAGCTTAATCCCTAGAAGCACCCTAAAGCTCCTTGTACTATTCAATCTGAGGAGTCTCCTTTTTAGGGTCTTGAAGAACCCTAAATCTAGACTTGCACACAAAGTCTGTTTCCTTTTGCTTCCTGCACACAAAGTGTACACCATCAACCTCCACCAATTAAATCTGATGTTCATTATCTTTGAAAATAGTCATTTTTTTCTTAGCAAGTTCATTTTTAGATAAAATTTGGAAAATGCTTTCTGAAAAATAGTAAAATCAAAAGACACTGAATGCTGAACAAAAACAGAGAATTAAGACCGGCTATATTAAGAGAGAAAATGATAGTGACAATGGCACAAGAAAAGAATAAGGAAATAAAAAAGCATGGTAGATGGATTCTTTCTGACTTCTAGAAGGTAGTTCAGATGTCAGAGCATCGGGAAGATAAACTGTAGATGTTTACCTACTGCTCACAGCTCATCCAGACACGTTCCCTAACGTCTGCATGGAATTCAAAGTGAGATATACCAGTAGTCACTGTTCTTTAGCACAAAGAGCTGCCCCAGAGCTCAGGGACCATCACCGTGACCACTCACCAAGCAGGAGGCTGAGCGGAGGCTGGCAGGACGGGAAAGCCAGCAGGAGGTCTAACAAGCTGGCACAGGCATCTCTTACAAAACGGTTATAATCAGCTGCTCCCTGCTTGCTGCACAGCTCCTGCAGCCTTCGCTTTTCCGCACCATCACTGGTATAGTCCACAAGGGCTCGCAAAAATGCCTGTGGCAAAGCAAAGGAAGAAGACTGAAATTATCACGTGCTTTATGGCTGGCTATCAGACTGTTTGTCAGAGACAGCCACTAAAGTGTGGCCAGGAAAACACAATTCACTTTGCTATTTGCTTTAACACCAACCTATTAGAAAAACCCACTTTTATGTTCTATTTTTGTTCACCTTTCCTATATCCTAAACCGGCCTCTTCAGTCACAAATATGATTTCAAATTACATGTCAGGTGCATCTGAATAAAAGTAATAACAAAGTCTTATAACTCAACATTTTGTCTCAGTCTGCAATACTGTTCTTGTCTTAGCTGATGACAACAATCTAGACTTCTACATTTATTTGGCAACTGTTATGTGCTCTCTGTGTGATAGGCACTGGGAGGGCAAGGCACTGGGGACAGAATGACATCTGCCTTGCTCATAAAGGTCCACATGCTAGTGAGAGTAACAGAAGTCAACCAGTGAGCAAGAGGTTACTCCCCCAACAGAAGCACATGCAGGATCTTAGGGACTTCCCAAGAAGAAAGCCTGAGTTGAAGGTTGGCCACATGAAACCAAGGGAGTGAAGAATGCTAAACAGATGGCATGGCTACATGAAGGCACAAGGATGATGGGCAATTCAATATGGGTGCAGGGGAAAGTGGACATGGGACTGAAGGCTGAAGAGTCAGAGGGTCAGAACATCGAAACACCCTGCAGTATGTGGACACTTGGTCACTCAGATTCGTTATAGAAAAAGAAAAATAGGAATAAATAAAGCAAAACAAAATCCTGAATCCCAAGTCTCAAAGACTGACTCAATTCCAAAATCTTGGACAAAGGACCAAACATGCCAATAACAATTTGGGGTTCCGACACAATTACAAGCTTATCCATCCTCTGACAAATGTAGCTCTTCTAACTCAAGGTTATTTAGGATGAAAGCACTTCAGCAAGTTATTTGCATCAAATGCTTTCTGAAATGTTAAGGGTGCTGCTACGTTTCATTTCACGTCTCAGACATTGTGTGTCCAGGACTTCCTCAACAGGTAGACCAGATTGCTGCTCTTGTGGGGGTCATGGGTCTCCACTGGCTTAGCTACGATCCAGAGACTAACAATCAGTGGCTTTCTCAAAGTGCCCGACACAGAGCCAAACACACAACAAAGCACTGGAGAAAGGCTAGAGAATGAATAAACATCCACATCTCTGTAGGGATCCATGGTAACATAACAAAGTTTACCAATAACACTTTGCATAAATTTCTCAAGTCAATAAAATTTCCTAAATTACAGTAAAATAGTGGCAATTGTAAATCCTTTAAATAACTTTTCACTTTAGAATTACAGAAACTTCATGGTACCAAGATAGGGTATACTGCACTGTCTGCAGAGAAGAAACTGACAAACATTACTAAAATTTAAATGCTAGTACTTCTTAATTTTTAAAAAATATTTTTCTTTATTGATTTTAGAGAGAGAGAGAGAGAGAAAACATCAATGAGAGAGAACACTGACTGGCTGCCTCCCGCATGCCCCCCACTGGGGATTTGGCTCACAACTGGGCATGTGCCCTGACCTGAATTGAACCAGTAACCTCTTGGAGCATGGGTTGACGCTCAACCAGTGAGCCATACTGGCCAGGTTAAAATGCTAGTATTTTAAAAGTAGCAATTCTACTCCAAGAAATTTGTTTAAAACAATACTTCAAACAGGTGTGCAGAGATGAATATAGTGCAAGAACATGTGTCTCATTTTTAAATTTTATTTAATAGTGAAAAACTGGAAAGAACCAACTGTCCATGATTAAATTGACAATTTAATTATGGTGCACCATGGCATCTGTTACTTTATCTCCGATATCTTTCCATGTTGGGGTATACAAACTATTGATTTAAGTTAAAAAAAAAAAAAGCATGTTACACAATGGTACATATATTATAGGACTTCATTTTCTTTTTAGCAAAACAAAATTCAAGCATTAACTCTGGGGGCTTGATTATAAAGAACTTTTGCTTCTTGAGTTAGCTATTTTTGTGTCAGATTTTTACAATGAGCATATCACTTCTGTAGTAAGAAAAAAAATATCTATATATAGGTACATAATATATGTATATACTTTAGAAAATTTTAAACAATGGTAGAATGGAACCAAAATTTTGAATTCACTTAATTTAATCAAGAAGCTTTTGTCAGACTGAATTATAAGTTTGCTCATATTATATCTAGGACTGAGCCTCTCTCTCAAGTAGCTTGCTTCCCAAAGGCGACAAATGCAATAACCACATTAATAAAACAAAAAAACTTCATTCACAGAGGGCATCCTAATAGCACCACTGTTTGAGTTGGCAAAGCACAGGATGAAAAATTTTACTCCTTTAACATCCATTTAAGGGACATGGTTTGAAGAAATCAGTTACAACTTAAAAAAAAAAAATTAATATAGCTTTGGGCAGAACGCTGACATCTAGTGGATAGTTCTAGCTCCAAATTCATCGAAACATCAATATAGCCTACCAAAACCTTTCAATATTCCCTGAAGAATTCTGACTTCAGGAAATAAATAATTCTGTAGTTTAACATAAAAGGGAACTTAACAACATTAAACAGGTATACTTTCATAAGTCTCATCATCCATTAGAAAGACAAGATATCCTTGTGCAGTTGGATAACACATGGTCTTCTAGGGTCACTTTCATCACTAATTTATACGCTGCATCAAGTTAATGTCCAGTAAAAGTAAGACTAACAAAAAGTCCTATGAAAAAATCTCATTTCAGTATAAAATATAAAATTTCAACATAAACACAACATAAAAATATTGTCTACATTTATAAAGATACCTCACACCCCTGGGAACTAATTTTGAAAACATGTTAAAATCTTATTTTTTAAGCCTTCAAAGGGCAGATACAGAACTAAGCATATTTGTAAATAGTTACCCAAAGAAGAAAAAAAAGTACCTTTCTAGGAACTGCTCGTATTTCGAGGCACCAGGTAAGAATGAACTGGAGAGAACATCTCTTTGGTACATGCTGGGGCAAGGCTGCTCCTTTTCAGGTGGATAAGAAGGTGTTCATGACAGAAAATAAAAAGTAAAATGTTTTGCATTCCTAAAAACACAAGTATTTGTAATACTTTACATTATAGTGTTATCAAATTGCAGTATGATTTGTGACATTATTTATTCGGTCAAAAACTTTTCCCCAAAATAAATAGTGCAGAAAAACCCACCTTACAAAAAAATAATTATGAATTCAATAGCTATAACAAACAAATCTAGGTATGCCAAATAATAAAAAATAAAAAAAATTATCTAAAGCCAAAGAACAAAAAGCCAAATGTGGTAGTGGTCCCTTAACATTGTGTATGATTCTGAAAAAAAATGTTAGAATTGACTGAGCTCAAGGTTCGAGACTCTAAGAAATAACTGAAAAAATAACTTTCTTTGATTATGAAAAAGTAATTATTTATATTAAATAAACGATAACATTATGATAAACATTATAGGAAGACAACTTTTTAAAAAGGTTCATATAAGTTTTTCTTGTATGATATTTTAATACATGAACTTAGAAACAAAATAATGCTAATTGCAAAAAGAGAACCAACAAATCAGCCCAACTGACCAACTTGTTTCTCCAAGACCAATTACAATGCCTTTTAAGGTTGCTAAGTGTCCAATAAGCATCAAATCTAATATCATCTCACTCAGTGTAACTGACATGTAGTCAAGAATCCAACACCAGTGAGTGCCTGTGTTCCTAGGCTAACATGAGGCAAACCCTGTGGTGCTGAATGGGAGCCTGGGGGAGGGTGCACTTGTCAACTCTGATTTGCTGGCCCAAGCTTACCTTTCTTCTTGGTGTCAGCTTTAATTTTCAAGAGGACATGGTGTTCCCTTTGGTCTATGAGCTGCAGTCTTTGAAGTAAGCTTTGCACCTCAGAGTCACTGTTGGGACAGATCACGTTGAAGGCATCTCCAGGCTGATAGAAAAAATCTGTTTTCTAGAGAAGAACCAACATGAAAAAAAAACATCCCATATGAATTAAAGATTTTAGTTATGGGCAAGAAAATCATAGTTTTTATTACATTAATCATTTTAATATATAAATTAGAAATAAAATGATCCTAATTGTAAAAAAGCTAATCCGCTCAATGAACTGAATGAACATACTTTATTAGGAGTTATCTTAAAAATGAAATTCCATGGTTATCCAATGTTTTGCTTTTATATCATTGAGTATTAACAGAGTGAAAATTAAGACCTTCCTCATTTTCTGTAGAGTCAGGTACCTCGGTAAGTAGTGTTTTAGTAATTCATGTAAAAACCCTCTTAAGAAAATATACACACATGTATACACAGGCAGACACACATTATAAGCAAAAAAAACTACTCAAGGTCATCTGTGTTGCTTTTCAATTTCCTTTTACTTCTTTCCTTCGGGGAGAAATAGGGTGGGAGAGGACACTATTTTTTTCTTCATGAGTGGAAAATGTTACAGCACCTGGCTTGGTACTGGTTGTGAACAAACATGGGCTGGAGAAGGAGCCACTCCCTACAGCGTGCCTCTCTGCAGTGACACAGCACACAGACCTGGGTCCTGAAAAGGGCCTCTGACCACACATGCTCATTTTCATAGCCTGTGAGGGAGACAGACTGGACCCACCAAATGGCTAACCCTTTGCCTCTTTATGATAAAAGTGTAGAGAAGAATAAAAAATGAAATGTTTTGATGTACATAAAATATTTATCAATATATAATATTAGAACATCCAAAACAAGTAAGGAACGACTCAATAGTACACAAACAAAAACTTGACCCCTGTCATATTTCTTTTTGTTTATTAAAAAATTCAATTAAATCTACCTAGACAGCTTTGATGCCATGATTTTTCAGAAACTGCAACCCACTGTACTTCTCGGGACCTTCATCAAAATAAAGGGTTGAGCTACAGGACTCTGAAGAAGTACTCAAGCACTGAGGTTTCAAGATTACCCACTGGTTTCTTAACCGGAGAGGTCAACAGATTTGGAGGGGAGGGGGCGATTGAGGAGGGCCTCCTGGACGGAGTTCAGAGATAAAGTACACAGTCCCTCCTGAAACTGTAGAAAATGTTTGTATATAATAATGTCTCTGGAAAGGGGGTCAGCAATCCCCCCTCCCCAATTTTTAAGGAATGAGAATCAGAGTAACTGTTCTATTACTGTCTAGTCTGAGCTCTATTTCCAGCTAGCTGGCTGACCTCAGGTAAACAGCTGAAAATGCTATTGTCATTCATTATTCTTGCGTGGCTTAATGTGTAAGGCAGCAACACTATTCTCTCACACTGAATCCCCTCCGGGGGCACTGCTCATTTTAGGCCCTCCCTGAGTAAGACGCAAACAGGTGTGAGGTGAGGATGATGGGTTAAGGATAAAAGGCTGGATGTCCTGTCAGAGATTCACTCTTCCCGAGTATACATGCTAGAACACCACACAAGTCTCTCTGCACTTCTCAACATAATTGTGCTGAGAAATAAATTCTGTAACTTACTGAAATGTCCAATTCTACCAGAAGAGTGGTTTTTATGGCATCATTTGTAGTCAGCTGAACTGCCTTTGAAATTGGAACTTGAAAAACTGGATCCACTGAAGTCACAGATGCTTGGCTTTCCTCCTTGAGAAACAAATGTGGTGAAGTATTACTAAATGCAATTTTCAATAATACTTACCATTGCTTCACTCAGTGACTAAGTAAGATCTATAGGATATTTTAAAACATACAGGTTATTTAAGTATCCTTTTTTAAGGTAAATGACTACACACAGATACTTCTCCACCTTCCAGAAGAGAAGCTCATCCATACTTTAAACTCCTTGTCTATTAGACCTTAGAATTTGAGATACTGATTCCAGATACTAGCATACTCATGTAAATGTCTCATAGTCTTCCTAATAAGCTATGCAAAGTAAAAGAGCATGTATGCCTATTTGAGGAAGGTGATGCTAAAGAAAATGACAGATATTTAAGTCTGGAAGATGTCTGTATGATGGCCACAAGAGCCCTGTTATAGGCAGTGATGTTCAACAGAGCTTTCTCAATGACGGGAATGTTCCATAACTGCACTGGCCAATACAGGAGCCACTAGCCCCCTGTACCCTGGAAATATGGCTAGTGTGATAAAGAAACTGGATTCTTAATTTTATTTAATTTTCCTGAATTTAAATTAAAGTGGCCACATATGCTAGGCGTGCCTATATTACACAGCACAGGTCCTAGAAAACTGTAAAGAAATCTAATTCTGTACTATCCCCCCACCTTTTCCAACTTGATGTTCCTAAATTCTATTAAAAGATTTTTAATTAAAAGTGGGTAGAGGACCTAAACTGACACTTCTCCAAAGAGGACATACAGATGGCCAATAGACATGAAAAGATGCTCAACTTCACTAATCATCAGAAAAATGCAAATCAAAATCACAGTGAGATATCACCTCACAGAATGGCTACCATTAATACATCAACAAATAACAAGTGCTGGCGAGGATGTGGAGAAAAGGGAACTTCTCTCCGCTGCTAATGGAAATGCAGATTGGTGCTGCCACTGTAGAAAGTAGTATGGAGTTTTCTCCAAAAATTAAAAATGGAACTGCCTTATGACCCAGCAATTCCAATTCTGGGAATATATTCAAAGAAACCAGATACAATAATTCGAAAGAAAACATACACCCCTATATTCATTGCAGAGGTGTTTTTTTTCACAATAGCCAAGATCTGGAAGCAGCCTAATTGCCCATCAGTACATGAGTGGATAAAAAAAGCTATGGTACATTTACATGGAAGACTACTCAGCTGTAAAAAAGGAAACCATACCTTTTGCGACAGCATGGATGGACCTGACCAATGACAAGTACCGTATGATTTCACTTACATGTGCAATCTCATGTACAAATTAACTAGCAAACAAAGTGGAGATAGACTCATGGATACAGTAAACAGACTGACAGCTGTCAGAGGGGAGGGAGATTGGGGGCTGGATGAAAAAAGGTGAACGGATTAAGCAAAAACAATTCATAGACATAGACAACAGTACAGTGATTGCCAAAGAGAAAGGGGGGTGGGGGGGTAGAAGAGTGTAAAGGGGGGATAAATAGTGATGGAGGAAGACTTGACTCGGGGTGGTGAACACACAGTACAATATACAGATGATGCATCATAGAAACGTAAACCTGATACTATATAATTTTATTCATCAATGTCACTCCAATAAATTCATTAAGAAAACGTAGAAATTTACATTTAACAAAATACAGTGAATTCATTTGGGATAAGTGGCTGCATGGGAAGTGGGAAGAGGGTTGGGGCTGAGAGCCTGAACAGTAGGTAGTATGTGGGGCACAGAGACACCCTTCCCTCCCTCCAGCACCAGTTCCCTAAGGCGCGAGTCCCAAAAGGATGCCCTAATAAGAGAAACTTTTCCAGTCTCTTTCCCCCTAAGTACATCCTTTGAGCAGATTTATACAAGTTTTCCTTAAATAGTTGAGATTTTAAAAGTCCTTTAACCACATTTCTGATGAACAACTCAAGCCTATTTAACGACGCCTACCATTAACGAAACTCTCTTAGCAGACCCTTCCCTGGAAGGACCTGTCAGAGTACTCAGGCTCACTGCCACTGTCATGTCTCCATCCTTATAGCATGAGATGGTGCCTCTCTACTATGTCTGTGCACTTTACACCCACTAGTCGAAGCATATTTCTACTGGCCACTTGTTCCCTGAAATTTTCTACAGCATGCTTAGGGTAAATTTCTAGTGCCGCCAATCTTTCAGTACAGAGCCAAATCCTCTCTCTCTAGTTTCCAAACCCGACTAAAATGTACTTTATTGTGATTACCTCACTAAATTAAACAATTCACAAAATAATGCAGTATAAGTCCCAAAACCATAACCCATAGTTACCTTGGTAAAAACACACTTGTTTATCTGAATGCTTTAGAAAGATGCTATAAAAAGATGATGTTAAAAAAAAATGCTATCACAAGATTGCTGTGGCTATTTGAGGTCTTTTTTGGTTCCATTTGAACTTTTGAAGTATTTGTTCTAGTTCTGTGAAATATGTCGTTGGTATTTTTATGGGGATTGCATTGAATCTATAGACTGCTTTGGGTAGTATGGACATTTTAATGATGTTAATTCTTCCAATCCATGAACAAGGTATGTGCTTCCACATTTTTATATCTTCCTCTATTTCTTTTTTCAATGACCTGCAGTTTTCTGCGAATAGGTCGTTTATTTCTTTGGTTAAGTTTATTCCTAGGTATCTTAATTTTTTTGTCGCAATGGTAAATGGGTAGGACGGATCACATTACCAGATTTCAGGTTATACTACAAAGCCACTGTAATCAAAACAGCCTAGTACTGGCACAAGAACAGGCATATAGACCAGTGGAACAGAACAGAGAACCCAGAAATGGACCCAAGGCAATATGCTCAATTAATATTTGACAAAGGGGGCAAGAGCATACAGTGGAGTAAAGACAGTCTCTTTAATAAATGGTGTTGGGAAAATTGGACAGCTACAAGCAAAAAAATGAAACTAGACCATCAACTTAACACCCTACACAAGAATAAACTCGAAATGGATAAAAGACTTAAATGTGACTCATGAATCCATAAAAATCCTAGAAGAAAATATAGGCAACAAAATATCAGACATCATAAGCAGCAGAATTTTCAGTGACACATCACCTAAGGCAACAGAAACAAAGTAGAAAATGAATACATGGGACTACATCAAACTCAAAAGCTTCTGCACAGCAAAAGATACAATCATCAAAATGGAGACTACCCACTGTATGGGAGAGCATAATTGCCAATGATAGATCAGATAAGGGGTTAATTTCCAATGTATATAGAGTGCTCATACAACTCCACAAAAGGAAGACAACCCAATTAAAAAATGGGCAGAGGGACTAAATAGACACCTCTTCAAACAGGATATACAAATGGCTAAGAGACATATGAAGAAATGCTCAACATCACTAATCATCAGAGAGATGCAAATTAAAACAACAATGAGGTATCACCTCATACCTGTCAGAATGGCCACCATCACAATGAGTGTTAGCGAGGGTGTGGAGAAAAGGGGACTCTAGTACACTGCTGGTGGGAATGCAGACTGGTGCAGCCACTATGGAAAACAATATGGTGTTACCTCAAAAAATTAAAAGTTGAACTGCCATTTGACCCAGTGATCCCACTTCTAGGAATATACCCTAAGAAGCCTGAAACACCAGTCCGAAAGAATATATGTACTCCCATGTTTGTAGCAGCACTATTTACAATAGCTAAGATCTGGAAACAGTCCAAATGTTCATCAGTTGACGAATGGATAAAAAAGCAGTGGTACTTATACACAATGAAGTATAATGCAGCTGTAATAAAGAAAGATCTCTTATCCTTTGAGAAGACATGGTGGGACCTGGAAAGTGTCATCCTAAGCAAAACAAGCCAAACAGAGAAAGACAAGTATCATATGATCTCACTTATTTGTGGAATATAATGAACATAACAGTCTGAGGAATGGGGTAGTCCCAGAGACGTGGAAGTGGGGTACAGACTATCCCCAGAAGAGGGGGTGGGGGGAGAGATAAACCACAGAACTTATATGCATGTATGCATGAACAATGGACAGGGACAACAAAGCTGGGGAGAGGGTGGAAAGGGAGGGGGAGGGGGGAAATCAGTGGGGGGAAAAGGAGAAACATCTGTAACAAAAATAAATAAATTAAGAAAAAAAAAAATGCTATCACATCACATACTTGCAACTAGTTGTAATGTATTAGAAAGTTGTCCTTAAACTGTTTCTCAAATGTCTAAGTCTCTCTTCATTAAAAAGAAAATAAAGAACTACAAATCATGATCACTGTTTGAGGGTGTGGTTTATATAAGAAAGCCCATATGGAACTTCCACCAGCCATTCTTAGGAGGACTTGGCTCTGCGTTAAAATAATGGCTGCACTGAAAATCTTCCACAAGCTTGCTGGAGGATGTTTCAGGGTACCATAGACTGGCAGTCGTGGGGAGTTAGCTATCACAGTATCCCACCACTTTAAAGTCATTTATTTGCTATGAAAAATACTCCAGGCAAAGAAAAGACTCACTATAGACTAAAACAGGTCTATAAAATATTACCAAGAAAAAGAATAATCCCCAAAATGGAGTATCCCAGATACCAAAATCCACAGTGGGAGAGTTCACTGAGATAATATCCCGACTGCCCACAACTTGCCTTCAACTGACTCACATCTAAAATAAGAAACAAAGTTAATTCTCCAAAACACTGGAGAAACTGAGCTTTTAACCATTCACTTCTTCAAAGACAGAAGTAATGTAATAATATAACTGCTTCTATCGGGCAGGCCTCTGCCCAGTGCAGAAGCAGCCACAGAGTAATTGCGAATGGATGCGCCTGGCTGTATTCCAGTACCACATGATTTACAAAAGAGAAGCGGGGGACGCATTTGATCAGCAGGCCATAGATTGTTGACCTCTGTTGTAATGTAATTAAAAAACAAATAAACAAATACATTCACGGTAAGATAATGCATAGCATCAATCAAGGCTGCTTACCTGATTAAGAGATTCATGCAAATCCACCTGTAAATATTCTGGTGGTAAAGCAGGAATATTCAGAGTGGCTTGGGAAAGTGGGGGTACTGAATGGGTAAGTGAGGACTCAAACTCTGCTATCAAAGCACTGGATTGACCTATGTTCACTGCATTTTGTTCCAAAACCTCAGAATCCTTTCTTCCCGAGTCATCTAATCTGAGAAGTTCAATTTGTGATTTGATGTATATTAATTCCGGTTTCACAAGGTCTGTCCTCTGGGAGGCAGTCAATGCTGTGTTGAGAGTTTCATTCATCTTTCCTTTTCTTCTACTTGACATAAAATGTTTCGTGAGGGCAGCCCAGAGCCCATTAATCCACGGATCAACCACAAGTTCTAAACTGGGGTGTTGAAAGAAAAAAGGGAAAAAGAAACAAATGTCTGAGTTTTCCATTTAAATATACAAGAATGGGTAATAGCAGCATCTGTCCACTCTACAGCATGCTAGTTAACTGTCAAAAACACTAGGAAGACTGTTCCGAATACAAGAGTTACTGACTAGGATGACTAAGTTAAAAAGCAGAACATTATTATTTAGTTCATTAGCTCTGAGCTGTAAAAAATATGAGCGTGTGTAAAAGTTAAAAAACAGAAATAAAAAATATTTTAGTAGTAGGTAATAGAAATTATTCCTCTTAAAACTAATTTCCTAAAATAGAGTGGTAATCTTTATTTTAAAAAGTTTTAATTTTAAACAAGCATGCTAAATTCTGATGAGGCTAGCAGAACTAACCCAAAACCCAAGTCTACTCTAATATCACAAATGATAATTACATCAGTTGAATGCACTTTCTTTCTTTTCCTAGCCAATTTACTGATCTTTTCTTCTACATATTAAAATATCACCAAGAAATCATGCAAATAAATGCTTACTCTTTTGACTAAGTAATTGTTCAAATCTTCTATCAGTTCTGAACAATTTTTCTGGTAAAATTTCCAGGGAGACAGACCACAGGGGGAAAAAAGCAATTTAGGAAAGTTGAATTAATCATAAGTACATTTGAAATGTATTGGTTTCCTTACTCCTAACCAAGTGTGATTACTCCATGACAATATTTCCACATTCCATGAACAGAGAACTTGTGAGTGAATAGATAAGAACGATTATGTCAGGACCTGGGAAAGAAATAACTTTGTCATCTTTAATCACAATTTAAAGGAGGTGCCAATTAAATTCCAGTTCATGAAACTAAATGACTATTAAGAAAATGCACATTTTAGACTATTATTACGACTCTGGCTAGTTTCACTATATTCATTAGGTGCTCACATAGTACATACCTAAAAATTTGGTTATATAGTAGTCCATCTAACCTTCATAAGCTTCTGGAAAAGCAAGTATATAAAATTATGGGTTCAGCCCTGGCCGGTTTGGCTCAGCGGTTAGAGTGCCCACCCACGGACCAGAGAGTCCCGGGTTCGGTTCCCACTAAAGGGACGTGACTTGGTTGCAGTTTGGCCCCGGCCCCGGTTGGGGTCGTGTGGGTGGCAGTCACTCAATGTGTCTCTCTCACATTGATGTTTCTCTCTTTCTCTTACTCCCTTTCTCTCTCCTGCTCTATCTAAAAATAAATGCAGAGGTGTCCTCAGGTGAGGATTAAAAAAAAAAAAGATAAAATTATGGGTTCAATAATGATAGCTACATTGAAAAAACCAGTCTCACAACTCAGAAACATGAAAATACTCAACCAGAGAGAGAGCTAATGTTCACTGAGTGCTTACTATATGGCAGGCACTATTCTAAGAGGACAATCTGTATTAATTCCTTTGATCCTCCCAAGAACCTTATACAATATATACTATTATTATTGGTTCCACAGAGGAAGAAACAGAAGCACAAAAAGTTTAAGTAATTTGATCAAGATTTCAGTCAGTAGGTAAGGGAATCAAGGATTTAAACCCAGATATTTGGACTCCAGCCTGTATTCTTAACCCTTTCAATGTGGTGGTACATTAAACCAGGATGTCTTCTTGAAAATATGTTAATTTTAGAAAAGGAAAAATTCAAGTAAGTTAGTTAGGATGAAAATTTAAGACATGCAACTGAAATATACTTTCAAATCTGTAACATCTGATCCAATAAATGAACAGGGAAAATGAAAGCCTTTGAAGACAAGTAAAATATGGATAGAGTGAGAGGCCTAATGAACTATATAAGGAGTTAGCAACTAAATAGTTTACACAAGACAATAAACATTTAATATCAATGAGGTTCTAGAAGAAAATAAAAAAGTCCAATATAAAAGGACAGAACTAAAAGGTAACAAGCAAGAAAACGTGGTGCACTTTGCCACCACCAAGAGCATGTGCCCTGGGGACGCGGAGAGGATCCAGAGCATCACAGCTGCAGGCAATGCTGGCCACGGAGAGGGGGTTAAGAATAAGAGAGTATCCAACATACCCATGCAAGTTGGTAATATGCTGAAAAGCAAGACATTTGCCGAATCTGTCATTATTCATAAACAGATTTAGTGAGAATTTATTTAATGCAGGCACCTGATAGAAAAAAATTTAAGTTTGTGCACTGTTATCTAGCTAAAATAGTTAAAGGCTAAATGACAGAGTAAGTTGTAGGACAATCAATATCTATAAGATCTTTAAATAAACATTAAGAGGATTGCAAGGGTGGCAATAGGATGGAAATTGTAAAAACAAGAATAAAAATAATAAAAAATAAAAACTGCATTTCTAGTGGGCATTAAGATGTAAGGGAGAGAGTGATAAGGAATGCAGCCTCCAGTGAAGACCCAGGGAGGCATGGTCTGCTGGGTGCCCTCCATGTAGGAGGACGCCACCCAGTTACTCCCCCATGCGCATCCCAGAGGAAGGTACAGATACAGGACATCAAAGCCCCTAAGGAAAATGGTAATTTTTGCAAATACCTACACATTTTAGATAAAGGTAACTGTACTGGGGCACCTTTTGTAATTTCTTCCATTAGCAGATACTGAGAAGAATGAGGAACTTAAATGCGGCTACCTTTCATCACAGGGTTCCTGGAAAAGACAGGGAAGTGCACTGCTCTTACCCTACGCAATCATCCGCGTGTCCAGTGTCATAGAAATGCCGGGCACCAAGCTCCTGAAGTCGTTTATCAATGACCTTCCCCCCGTTACAGAAGTACATGTATTCTGAATCACCCAGACCTAAATAGCCCAAACAGGTTATCAGTGCCAATAAAGTTGAAAAGAAAATAGATATAGACATACTGAGTATTTAAAACAACACCATTCATTCTCTTTTTTTAATGGAGCAAGAAATGATATATAGCTTCACATTTTCGTAGAGTAACATTAAGTATGACACAATTTTCTTCTATTTTATAATGTAAAGTACCAGACACGTGAAAACAGCAAATACTTTGTGGACACTGTTAACGGAAACATTTTTTCACATTCATGTTTCCACCAATCTATGTAAAAATATGGGTATCTTAAAATAAGAATTAGGTTTAAAAACATCATTTCTTGCCCAGCCAGTGTGGTTCAGTGGATTGGGCGTCGTTCCATGGATTGAGAGGACCAGGTTCAATTCCCGGTCAGGGCACATGCCTGGGTTGGGGACTCAACCCCCAGTAGGGGGTGTACAGGAAGTAGCCAATTGATATTTCTCTCTCACATAAATGTTTCTCACTCTATTTCTTCCTCTCTCTCTAAAAAATCAATTAAACATATTAAAAGAAACATTTCTGTATTTGCAGACTTTTCTGATTTAGTGCAGGGGTGGGCAACAAACCATAGCCTGTGGACCAAACACAGTATCATTTTTTGTAAATAAAGGTTTTTGGTTTTTTGTTTGTTTATTTTAAATATGTTTGTATTGACTTTTTAGAGAGAAAGGGAGAGATAGAAACATTGATGTGAGAGAGAAACATTGATTGGGGATTGAGCCTGCAACCCCAACCCAGGCATGTGCCCTGACCAGGAATCGAAAAGGGACCTCTCAGTCCATGGGATGACACTCAATCCACTGAGCCACACTGGCCAGGTTGTAAATAAAATTTTATTGGCACCCAGCCAAATCCATTTTTCCACATATTGCAGTGGCAGCTTTCAAGTTTTCATCATAATTGAGTAGCTGTTATAGAAACCACATGGCCTGCATGCAAAGCCTAAAATACTTACCCATCTGGGCCTTTATAGGGTTTACTGATCCCTGACCTCAAGCACAGAAGGTGCATCTACAATGTAAACAATCACTCACTATGTTTGTGTTGGATAAATTAAGAATTACTTCTATGTTTCCTGGTAAGAAAATGGGCTAACATTTTCATACTTGGTTGAAAATTTAAAATAGAAAGCTTAAATTTCTCAGTTTTTTTAATCATCACCATGCACTTTCCCAACAACAATAGAGTCTACTTATGAGTCTAACACTATAATAGTTAGACAGGCTTCAGTCTTTCCTTTATAATTTTTTGAAAAATTTTAAAATAATACATATATGCACTCTTAAAAATAAAGAAATTTAAAAAACTTGAATTTTAAAAAATGCAAATACTCCAAAATATTCTCTTGGATGTGTTATACATGAGAGACCGTGGCCAAGGTCATAATCTACCATTTCTAATCAGTTACTCATCAGTACAATCCATCCTTGCTGGATACCCTCCCACCAGAATAACTCTCAAAGACGAACAATACAAATCACAAGCTAAGAAAATGGACCCTGAATTCCCTATCTGGTGTCCTATCTTGCTCAGCTGGTCCATCCAATCCTTTATCTTAATATTTTAATCTACACTTCATAAAAGCCTAGACCAGTGTTTCCTCACCTGGGAGCTTTTAAAAAGACTGATATCAGGGTCCTATCTTATAACAATTAAGTCAGAATCACTGGAGGTGGACCCAGGTAATGAAATTCAATGAAAACTCCTCAGTTCATCTCAAAGTGAGGCTAGGACTGAATTTATCCCATGAAGAATATCCTGTGCAGGGTGCTTGGTTGGCCATCAGAGGGGAACCCAGGGCAGCACCTCCTCCTAGGCACTCTTCTCTTAGTGCTTTTTGCTTCTTTCTTTCTTTCATTTATTTATTTTTGAAAATAGAAATAGATCCATTTCCTGGTAAATCAAAGCACAGTTTGGACTTCTCCCAGTCCTTGGTATTTAATTTCTAAGCATTCCTTCACATGCCTTCAATGACTGCAAGTACTCCATGGAACCTACTTGAATTTTTCTGAGACAGCTGCTGTCTGTCCTGCACGATGAGTGTTTGAAGGTACGCAAGGTGACTGGATACTTGCTCACGCAAAGACACCATCCAGGTGACAGTGGAGTCCTGCTGCATGTACCTGTGTCAAATTTGCAGTTGACTTGATAGAGCAATTTACTCTTGATGTATCCAATTGCACACTATAATTATATCACCAGAACATACAAATACATCATTTGTATAAATTATAAATATTAGATCTTGGGTGTGATTTCTACATTTTCCCTTGGGGAATGTCTTCCTTCCTGGTGTGGGATTGTGCATTCCAACACTGTCAGTGACCTTGGCAATCCTATCAACTTGTATAGTGAGAACAGAGTGGGAGGCTGAGGCTGCTTCTCCCTTGTGCCCAGATTAATGTCTACAGTTGACTGGTATGAGAGTTTATGGATATTTGTGTTTTTTTACTTCTTTAATTTCTGTCTGCATGTTAGTGTTTAATGTGTGATTTTTTAAGAGAGAATACTTTGACACCTGTAAGAAATCAAAATACTACTCTTTCTAAGACGTTTCACAAATATCCACTTACAGGTATTTTATTCGTGTGTGTGTGTGTGTGTGTGTGTATAAATAAAATTATTTTACTAGTTGGGGGTAAAAAAAGAAAACCACCATCCTAGGAGAATGGTTCTTAGGGAAGATAGCAAATCCCCCTGGGAGCTTTTTTAAATGACAAAAAACAATAAAACAGCATGCAGTACTGCTCCTTCAGGAATTCTGTTTTAGCAGGTTTGGGTGGGGCCAGCCACTACTGTTCTGAAAGTGCTTTACTGTTGAATCTGATGTGCACCAGGGTGAAGAATGCTAGAATGCTCCTCAAGGGGCTCTGCACAAGTGTTGGTGTGGGTGAAGCCTTCGTAGAACAAAGCACCTTATTTACAATGAAATATCACATATATATTTATATAAAAAACCAAAAAGGACAAAACCCATACAATTATGTACGGGCTGGAGCAAAAGTAGGTTTACAGTTGTGCGAAACAGAGTTTATTCTTGTATTACCATTTATTAATTATTGTATTATTTTCCATATGAACAACTATAAACCTACTCTTGTCCCCCCTTGTATTATGGTTTTAAAAGATACAGATACTAGAATTAAAGTCAGCAATAACAGTACAGTCAGAGCAGTACATACCTAATAATGCATACCGCAGTTGAGCAAAGAAATCAACCGGCAGCGTTTTGTCCTGTATTTCTTTCACGAACTTGCGGGCTGTGTCAGGTGGGTCTCCGGTGCCTGTGGTAGAAACCACCACCACAAGAGGTGCTGTTTCATTTTTTAGATTGTACTGCAAAACAAGAATGTCATGTCAGGGATCTACTGCCATGTGTAGTTCAGAATTATAATCAGCTCAGTTTCTTGTCTTGAACCCGTCATCAGTACCACATATGGCATAAAGGCAGAGAGGCACACAGAGCATCTTTAACTTGAAAAGGTAAAGTGTTATACCTCCTCTATCAGGGAACCTGGCTGGCTATCACTCTCTCAGGGTTCCAGAGAGTTGAGAATATCGGTAGTCATCAACTGAGATTATCGGTGTTTCCCAGTTTTAAAAACAAGCTTCTTCATTCTAATTTTCACCTAAATTTAAATATTTCAAACAGAGCACTTCACTTTCTCTATTTATGATTCCATGAGCTCTACTGCTAACAAGTATCATCTAATTTGGCTCAAAGAAATTCACTTTATTTTTCATGTTGATAAAATAGATAAGAATTTGAGCTAACATTTTACTAGGAGATTCAATGCTCACAGGGTACTTTGCACGTAGTGTATTAAACTTTATAAAGTTTGTTAAAGTAATTTCACCTTGAAAAGGACTTCCATGATCTAGGAAGTAGAGAGCTGTTGGTTTAAACTTGGATCAAGAAATGGAAAAACCATTCAGCTGGGGAAAGCAAACGATGTTACTAACGTGGTATTGAAAAACATTACTCACCTAACTTTCAAATAGCTGCTGACCTACGTGGTGAGGTGACCAAGGGGCCAAATCAAGGTTAGTTATATGATTCAGATTGTATTCCACCATGTGGCACTTGCTATGTAAATTTACTTTGAAGTTACTATAGAACTACAAAACCTGCAGACTAGTGGTATCCTCCAGGATGCTACTTGTTGAGTGAGTGACTCATCAGGAGTCACCTTGGTCCTGCTGTATAAAGGAACTAGTTGGTTCTCCTTCTATGAGCTGAGTTTATAATTCATCTGTGCTGCTAATAGTCTAGTCTTGAACTAGAGATGTGGAAAAAGCCAGAGGAAGTTGTGAACTTGAGTGAGCATGTCCTAGCAGGGTCATTTTTGAAGTACTGAACTGACTTTGACTGCTTAGTGGCTGGGACATATGCTTATGCTGGTATGAAAGCACTTGCAAGTTGCTACAACCTGAATTATATAAAACAGTAAAACTTGGATGTCTCAACAGAACTAACTGTAAGAAGAACATAGATCTGTTAAGTTCTTATGTATCCTATGAGACTTCTGCAGAGTCTGAATGCACAAGTGGTCCCTGACACAAAGAAGCTGAGTCTTCTCCAGATCCATATGCTTCTACTTAAAATTTTTTTTTTTCTTTATTGATTTTTAAGGGGGGGGGGGGAGAAATATCACCTGACTGCCTCCTGCATGTCCCCCACTGGGGATTGGGTCCACAACCTAGGCATGTGCCCTGACAGGGAATCAAATTGGCAACCTCTTGGTGTATGGGTCAATGCCCAACCACTGAGCCACACCGGCTGGCCTTACACTTCTACTTTAAATTCTATATCACAAAAGAATTAAGTGTTCCTTCACTTGGAGGAACTCTATACAAATGGCAAGGTCTTTATTTTGGAGAAATACAAATGGGGCCCTGGGGTTCGTGAAGTGGAAAGCACATAGGCATGTGAACACATACATCTCATTTGTTCTTAGAGCCACCCCATGACAAAGCAAAGACTACAACTTCTATGTTGCTTGAGTAAGTACTTGTTTCAGTTTTTGAGCCAGTTTAGTCTAATTTAAATGGATACTTAAATGTATAAAAAAAGAAAAGCTGGAAGGACTCTTAAAGCTTTCGATAAAATTAATTTCTGAGTATTTAAAAAAAGAACTACAGTGGCATTTAAAGTCCTACATTGTTGTTTAACACCACTCTCAACCAAAATATCTTCAAAGTATAAAACAGTAAAAATCACAGGAATAACAGCTCTCACCTTATCCAATTCACTAATACAGTGAAGATCTGCAGAAAATCCATGTGTAACGGCCTTTTCACAGATTTCTTCTGCAATGGCCTTTGCCTGTCCACGCTGTGTAGCATAGAGTAACAAAAACCTTCTCATTGCCTCCAGGCATATGCTATATAACTAGGACAGTTACACTGAAAAATGAAAAATGGAAAAAGGGATTTTCTTTCTAAAGAAGTAGAAACAACATGCAGGTATTGATTCTCCCTCAAAATCTTCAAAAAAGAGACTCCAACAATATCCACACAAAATATGAAATACACTTCTTTGAATCTGTTAGAATTCTTAAGAAGTCATAAAAAGAGAATTTATCAAACCAGGGAGAATAGAGGAATGAAGCTCTAATTCCATGTCTCAGAAATCACTCTGGGGTCAGCCTACTTGGGCTTCAATGCAGTAATTCACAAATGCAGAAGTGTAAGCAAAACTCCCAGTGGATCTGTGCCTCAGTTCCCTCACCCTTAAAGTGGGGATAATCACAGACATGCCTACTGACAAAGACAGACAGAAACAAAGCACCTGAGCAATGTCAAAGACACAGCAGTGCTCAAAAAATTTTAGATTCCTTTTTGCTTGCTCTTTTAAAAAGGTAAAAGTAAAATTTCCATTAAAATTTTGGGAGTCTTGGTTTACACTTGATTCTTAATTAGAAATGAACTTAATCAAATACTGGTTTATTATTTAATTTAATATCAAATAAATGTCAGAACATGTGTAATATGTACTACATATGTATTGCTGGAAAGCCAATATTTCTAATCCACTCTATTAACAGTTTTATTAGCACATGTTTTTCCTTAAGAGACACCAGTAATAAAATAAAGCACACTCACTGACTTCTCCATGTACTCATTTGGTATCTACATCTGGGGACTGTTGATACGTTGGGAAAAAAAATTTAAACAGAAACCCTTATCAAAATATCTTTGGTGAATGAACCACCAACAGTTTTATGCTCCTCTGGCCAGTTACATCCTAGGACAAATTAAGCAACAAAGAAATTCAAAAATAAAAGAATCGTGTTAGGGAACATATTAATAACCTTGGAACATGCTTACGGAGCAGAACATCGCCTGGCACAAAGCAGGCGCTCAGTAAATTAACAGAATAAAGGAGCGCGCAAATGAGTATATATGAAGACACTACATCAGGGCTCAGTGCACACTAAAATGCAGTGACAGACGCCACCGCTTATTATTTTTACAGCTAACCACCAGAACACTACCTAGGAGCCGCGCACGGGTTTAGGCGCTTGGGAGAAAGAACATAACCTGTTCGTCCTACAAGTACCTTATAAAGCAGGTACTGCTCCCCACGTTTCTCAGGGGTGGTTCCCCGGCACCCGCAGGGCAAGCAAGGTCAGGCAGAGAGGCGGTGGAGCAGGGCGCCCAATCGAGCCAAGTCCGCTCTCCAAACATTGCGCAGTCTCCAGCGCCAGTTGCCGACACCCACTCGCGTCTCCGCGCCCCACTGTGCCCTGTACCCGACTAGAAAAGGGTTAAGAACAGAGATACTGACGGAAGAAGGGCCACAGAGACCTGCGGGACCAGCTTTGCTCATGCAAACGCCAGCCAGCTCCCGGGAGGCGGCACCATAGACACCGCCGAGACCGCGGCGCAGCCCGTCTTGGGCTCGCAGCCAAGCCGGGCCAGGCTCCGGGCCGACCAGCGCGCGCCTTTCCCGGCCAGGAACCGCCTCCCCCTCGGCCCGCGCAGGGCATATGGCCCAGACAGGGGTACAGTGGCCACAGAGCACTCACCTGTACGGGCCCAGGCGGAGACACCAGAGGAGTGGGTGGAACCGCGTGGAACCGCTGACCCTCCTGCGGCGTCTGCGCACTCCGTTTTGGCGCGCGCTCAGCGCCCGAACCAATACCAATAGAAAGCCAGGAGAGTCGGCCAATCACAGCGCGCCGAACTTGGGGGTGTGACTTTGTGTTCCCGCGCGTGCGCCGGTTGTGCGGCTCCAGCGCGGCGTGCGTGTGTAGAGGCCTCTCAGCTCCATTCCTCCAAGAGCTGCTCGAACTCCTGCAGGCTGAGCTCGGTAGGTGTCCGCGCGGGGGTAGAGCTCGGATTTTTTGGGCCCGTGTTGTCCCTTAGGCGTCGGTGCTGCCCTGACCCGCCCAGCTCTTCTCGGCCGCCGCGCCCATCCGGTGCTTGAGCGCAGGTCCCAGGCTCGCGGGCTTTGGGAGCGCCGGGTCCCTGGGGTCCTTCCATTCTGAGGAGGAGGCGACCGCCGGGGCGCCCGCCCTCTTTTGCCCTGCACATTTGTTTTCTTAAATCGCGGGGTCTTCAGGTCTGCATAGGCCGCCTACCCTACCCCTCATCGACCTGTATTCTTTTACCTTTTTTATTCACTGCTTTTTTGCCGTTTGCCCAGCTAGACCTTATTCTTCCTCAGTCCTAGCTATGAGGGGAAACAAAAACCTTAGGACTTTTTAAGCACCCTTTTTTAAACCTTTGCTTTACGTTGGCCTATAGGAAATTTGGCCACTTGACCCAAATTTAACCAAACGCATGTCCTTCCATCCACCAATTTATAGGATGCATGTTTATGTCTAGACACCTTGTTTTTTAATCCCAGCTCTGCCACTCACTAGCTGTGTAAACTGGATAAAATCACTTATCTGTGCTTCAGTTTCCTCACCTGGAAAATGATAAGAGTGCTTAATTCATTGTGCTGTTAGGAGCATTAATTTAGTACACGGTAAGCACAACAGTGCCTGGCAAATGATAACGATTATTATTGTTAGATGCCAGCCAGTTTTCTAAGCTTTGGGATGCAGCAGCTCTGTTCTCCTAGTACTTATGTTTTGGAGGGAAATGTTTATTAATCGCTTATTTTGGGTACTTATCCTTAGTTCCATCAGTATTGATGTTGAAGGAATCATGTTCTCAATATATATGACTATGTTTTCTATTCCTATATTTAGTTATAAATCAAGACTTGAGAATCTGATGGCATGGCTTTAATTACCTTACGGAGGAACCTTTGTCATTTATCTGATTTTCGATTACATGGAGCTCTGAATACTGTGAAAAATCAACCTGTAAATCATGTTCACAAGGTAGTCAAGGAGCATCTGTGCCCATGGTTCTGTTCACTACAAGCTGAGCCTTTCAGGGTCAGGTTCCATCATGCCTGTTGTAAAAAGTTCCATTCAGAAAATGGAAATGACCTTCATCCATTTGGTGAGTCCGTGTACTCTCAAGTACATGATTGGGACAGTTTTGAACAAAATTTCAAAAACATGGATGAACAGATGTTTTACACGAGACTGAACAACTTCACTTCATCAGAAGAAGTGCTAAGTTTTATAAGCACACTGCAAACTTTGCCTGATACTATGGCAGCAGGAGCCTTACAGCGAATTTGTGAAGTGGGAATAAAAGATGATGATCAACGGCTTTCAAAGGAAATACTAGAGAATCCCATCTTTCAAGCTTTATGTGTTCAATTTGAACAGGAACCCTCGAATCTGTCAAATACCAGTTTAGTGACTGCTTTGCAAGCCCTTACTCTGCTATCTGTGGATCCCCAAAGTAGCTTGTTACTGAACCTGGTGACAGAATGCCAACATCGTCTTAAAAGGGGTGGCCTGGAAGTCCACAGTCTTTGTGTTCTTGCGGAAAGCCTGCTTAAACTACAAGGTCCAGGTTGTGAGACACTAGACTTGATTATACATCAACTGCAAGGTGAAAAGTTGGAAGAATTTACCCCCGAGGATATTGTGGCCCTTTATAGAATACTGCAGATGTGCACTGAAAAAGTGGACCAACACCAGACATTTCTAAATAAGATAAACATCTTTTCTCTGTCAATAGTTTCCAACCTGAATCCTAAATTGATAAGCCAAATGCTCATGGCCCTAGTGGTTCTCGATCAAACTCAGGCACTTCCTTTGGTTATAAAATTGGGTAAATATGTTGTAAGGCACATCCCTCATTTCACTAATCAAGAGCTTGGGAAAGTCTTAGAGGCTTTCATATACTTTGGGCACCATGACAGATTTTTTATAACAGCCCTGGAACAGCATGTAGCGTCACTGTACCTCACTTTGGACCCTGAGGTTGTCAGCAGAGTCATGGAGTACTGCAGTAGAAAACACATCCTTTCAAAACCCATTCTGAATGCAGTGGCAGAAACTTTTGTTTGCCATTCTGAAAAATTTTCACCTAGTCAGATTTCTGAGTTGATCGAACCATTTGGGAAACTCAATTATTTGCCACCAAATGCCTCTGCTTTATTTAAAAAGCTAGAAGATTTGTTATTCACTCATTTCAATTCTTTTCCTCCCAAAACACTATTGAAACTTCTCCATTCGTGTTCACTTATTGAATGCCATCCAGTCAACTTTATGGCAAGAATATTCAGCCCTTATTTTCTTCAGCAGCTACAAGGTGAGTTGGTTATAACTTCTGAGAGTGGAAAAGTTAATCTTTGAACTTGTGATGTGTTCAAGTCACATAAGTACCTTTTACATTGAGCAGTGCTTCACCTGTCTTTTTTCTTTCATAACAAACTAAAGAAGACATCTGGAGTTGCAGATGGTAGTGTAAACGCAGAGTTAAAGAATGCAAGAACATTGCTTCAAGTGAGAAAACAGCTTCGAGTAAACAGACAGCTGCCCTCGCTGAGAAACAGTATTCTTGGGGCGCCGTGGTGATGGCAGTGCTAATAGTCACAGTAACATGTTAGAATCTTTCTGAGACAGAACTATAAAAATTTTTTTGAGAGGATAGTATTCATCTTAGTTGAAGACCACCAAATACGTCAAAAATATCGATTTCTAAAAAGTTTCAACTAACATATTTTGTCCTTTTTAATTATATATTCTCTAGTTAGGAGCTTCAGTTCTTGGAAGTTAAAATGAGATTGCATTAATGGCAAGCAAGAAAGCATAGTTAATTCTAACCTGTTTTTATCATAGTTCATAGTGTCATTGAAGAGAAGCTTATTGGAATGAATAAATGAATCTTGTATATTCTTAATATTTCCTCATTACATATATCAAAATTTAAATTTACCTATGATGGATTATTATTTCAGGTGAGGAATCATATTTGGATAGACTGAGCCTAGCACAACTGACCCAGCTTTTGTTAACCTC